CCCCTGGTGCCAACTCTTCCCCCAGAACCCGGGCAAAAACACTGCCTCGAGCCCTGGGGCCCGTGGAGGGCCCACGGAGGCCCCACACGGAGACAACCCCCTCAGGACCCCCCTCCTCCCCTGCCCCCCCAGCCTCCTTGCAGCGCGCCCGCGTGCAGAAACCCATTACCAGCCTGGAACACATCCCTATCCCGATGTTGGGCATCGCCTCGTCACGATGGCGGTCTTAGGGATTTCCGCAGCTTCTGAGGGCGCATCCCTGAGATTGTCATCTGCTTTTGGCGTGCCAATCTTAGGGATAGGGATGCGTCCGAGGCTGGTGAACCTGTGCCCCCCCCCCTCTTCGCGCCACCGGCTGGGCCTGCGGGCCGTCGCCCCCCGGCCGCCGGGTGTGGCCGCGCTGTCGACAGCCACCCGGGGGGGGGGGGGGAGGGAGGCCGGCGGCCTGGGCGCTGCGCCCCTGCAGGCAGAGAGGCGGGAGGAGGAGAGGGTGCGGAGGGAGCGACGGGGGTGGGGAGAGGGACCCAGGGATGGAGGAGGAGGAGGAGGAGGAGGAGGAGGAGGAGGAGGAGGAGGAGGAGGAGGAAGAGGAGGAGGAGGAGGAGGAGGGGACGAGGGCTCCGCCATCCGTGGAGAGGAGGGGAGGTGGGGAGAGGGGCGGAAGGGGGCTGCGGCAAGCTGCAAGAGGAGAGTGGTGCAAGCTCCCTCTCTACCCGCGAACCCCGAAGACTCGAGGTACTTAGCGAGAGGGAGCGCCGAGTCCCAGCGTGCCTGCTCGAGGACCCTCTCCGCGCTACACTCAGAGCAGCACCGCAGCCCCGCTCCCCTGGCAGCCCGAAGCCCATGCGGCGCAGCAGCTCTATACAATGTGCAAGGGTTCGGCCGACTGGCCATCGCTCGGACGTCCATTCCCTGTGCTTTTTTCGATTCCGTGCGTGTTTTTTCGCCAAATGATCAAGGATGCTCCTCGATGGTCCTCGCCGAAAGAAAAATGCACATGTCCGAGCGATGCCAAGTTGAAGGGCCCAGACCCCCAGTTCCCCAGGCGATCGTGCGCCCTGCGGGGGGGTGTCACCTGAGCTCTGGGGGCGCACAGAGAGAGGGCCCACGACGGGCCAAGAGGGCCCTAAGAGGCCCCACAGAACGGCCGAGGAGGGTCGCGAGTCGTCCGTCGAGCGATCGGCCCAAGACGCCCAAGATGGCCGCCAGGCGGCCGACGGTGCCCCCAAGACGCCCCAGAGGGCTCCAAAAGACCTCCCAAGAGGCAGAGTTCACTCGTTGTCCGTGAGTGTCTGACAGATCGTGGCGTTCTCGCCTGTTCCGCTGCCCGACGCTCCAGGACGGCCCAAAAGGCTCACAAGATCGCCCCAAGACGGCCCGAGAGGCCTCCGAGGGGGTCCCAAACCGGCCCAAGATGGCCCTCAACCGGCCCCAGGGGCCCCCAAGACGGCTCCAGCAGGGGGCCCCGACGGGTGACTCGAATGAGCATTTCGAGCTCTCCGAGCCACGGGGGGGCCCCCACGAGGCCCCAAGATTCCCCCCACGAGGCTCCCAAGAGGCCCTCCAGAAGCTCCCAAGCAGACCCCAAACTCAAACTGCCCCCAAGAGCTCCCGAGCGCGCTCCCAAGATCCCAAGAAACATCGCTGAGACTCTGACCCGCAACCCAAGCACGGTGGCGGGATAGGCAAACGGCCATTACACGCACATCTATCTCTACATATATATATATGTATATATATATATATATGTATTTATACACATATATATACACATATGTGTATATATATATGTTTATAAATATACGTATACGTATACGTAGCACCCAGCAATTGCGGATAAGAGTGAGGGGGCGGGCGCGGGCGACGCGGGCGTCGTCGAGCCGGCGGACCTCGTGGCCCCCACCTTCCCTGTCGATGGCGCTCTCCTCCTCCTCCTCCTCCTCCTCCTCCTCCTCCTCCTCCTCCTCCTCCTCATCCTCCTCTTCCTCGTCCTCGTCCTCGTCCTCATCGTCATCGTCATCCTCCTCCTCCTCCCCTCGTCCTGCTTCCTCCTCCTCTCTTCCTCCCCTCTTCTTCCCGTCCTCCATCATCGTTAGTCGTCCCATCCTCATCATCCCCTCCCTGTCGTCCATCATCATCCCTCCCCCTCCTCCCCCTCCTCGTCCTCCTCCTCCCCCTCCTCCCCCTCCTCCCCCTCCTCGTCCTCCTGCTCCTCCTCCTCCTCCTCCTCTTTCTCCACATTCTCCTTACATCCTCTCTTCTTCCGCGTCCTCCTCGTCCCCTGTTTACTCCTCCTGCCTCCCCCTCCTTTCCCAAGATAACGGCAACGCAATCTTTTTTTCCACTTTATGCTCCCCGACTTCTCTGATCAAGGCAACTCGCCAGGGCAAAGTTGCTGGACGGGCTGGTGTGGATGCGCGGGGCTTGAAGAGGTCGTTGCGGGCTCAGACGGCATGCAAAAATCCGCCGCCGCGCTTGTGCGGCATTGGTTTGTTCAGTGAACGTGGTTTGGGTCGCGGGTGGGTCGCGGGCTCTCCACCTCCACCTGGAAGGAATGCAAAAGCAGCCCGCCGCAGGCGCCGAAAAAAATTGGTTTGTACACTGAACGTGGTTTGGGTCGCGGGTGGGCCGCGGGTTCTCCACCGGGAACGAATGCAAAAGATGCCCGCCGCAGGCGCCGAAAAAATGGTTTGTACCCTGAACGTGGTCGCGGGTGGGCCGCGGGCTCTCCACCTGAAACGAATGCAAAAGATGCCCGCCGCAGGCGCCGAAAAATGTGGTTTGTACCCTGAACGTGGTTTGGGTCGCGGGTTGGTCGCGAGTTGGTCGCGGGGTGGGTCGCGGGCTCTCCACCTGGAAGGAATGCAAAAAAACCCGCCGCAGGCGCCGAAAATGGTGGTTTGTACCTTGAACGTGGTTTGGGTCGAAGGTGGGTCGCGGGGTGGGTCGCGGGGTGGGTCGCGGGTGGGTCGCGGGTGGGTCGTGGGTGGGTCGCGGGAGGGTCGCGGGGTGGGTCGCGGGGTGGGTCGCGGGGTGGGTCGCGGGGTGGGTCGCGGGTGGGTCGCGGGTGGGTCGCGGGTGGGTCGCGGGGTGGGTCGCGGGGTGGGTCGCGGGTGGGTCGCGGGGCGGGTCGCGGGGTGGGACGACGACAACAAACAACAACAACAAAAACAACAACAACAACAACAACAACAACAACAACAACAACAACAAACAACAAACAACAAACAACAAACAACAAACAACAACCAACAACAAGAATCCGCACCGCGGAATCCTACTTCAGCCTCGCAGCCAGGAACAGTGAATGACCGTTCGGGCCCCTTCACTCTGATATATGTGTATATATACACATATATGCGTGTGTATACGTGTGTGTGGCAAACACATTGTATACCAGGAGATGTCATAACTCGTTTTATGTAGTGAGGCACTGCAGTGTTGGGACACACGCATATTTAAGAACGCGATGCACCTATGGCATCCTACAGAACTGTAACGTCCAATAACGACGACTGTGAGATACGTGCGACTTCAATATGCAAGAGGAGAGTGAGAGAGAGGGGGACAGAGGACAATAGAGAGAACAACCACAGGGAGAGAGAGAGAGAGAGAGAGAGAGACAGAGGGAGAGAGATATAGAGAGCGAGAGAGCATAGTGAACACGACATCGAAGGCGATCTATATATATATATATATATATAGGGGATCGATACATATATACATATATATATAGAGAGAGAGAGAGAGACGCACATCTATACTATGTATTGATATACAGGCACTGTGAACACACCATGCGAACACATACAGACAGGTGTGCAGACAGGACAGCAGGAAGGCGTACACATGCGCATGCAGGCAGGAGGGCAGGTAGGAACGGGCGCCGATGATGCTGGGCGAAGACGGGCCAACGCTCACGGCCTCAAGTGGAGAATGGGTGTGGAGTAATAGAGGAAGACCAAACGGCATGACTTTAAAGGGTGCCTGACCTCCGCGCGGATGTCTTGAATGGGCGCTGGACTCCCCTTCTGGCGCGCGGAGCGCGCCAAGGGCGGCGCTGGAGGCGCCGCAAGGGGAGGGGGGGGGGGGGCACGACGCCGACCGATCCAAGACATCCGCGCAGAGCTCTGACAGCGTATGCGATGCGGTGATTCTCGTATCCACAGGGACCCCCACTGCCGCCCGAACCCTGAAGATGTTGACCTCCTCGATCCCGGGGATGATGATGATGATGATGATGATGATGGTGATGATGATGATGATGATGGTGATGATGCTGATGATGCTGATGAAGATGATGCGGATGGTGATGATGCTGATGATGCTGATGAAGATGGTGGCGATGATGCTGATGATGCTGATGATGATGATGCTGACGAAGATGATGCGGATGCTGCTGATGATGATGATGATGCTGATGCTGATGATGAAACTGAATATGCTGAGGATGCTGATGATGATGCTGATAAAGACTATGCTGATGATGGTGATGCTGATGATGCTGATGATGGTGACGATGATGCTGCGAAAGCTGGGGATGATGCGAATGATTATGAGGATGATGGTGATGATGCTGATGATGCTGATGATGCTGCTGATGCTGAAAATGAAGATGAAGATGATGAGGATGCTGATGATAATGGTGCTGCTGACGAAGATGATGCGGATGATGATGATGATGATGATGATGATGATGATGATGATGATGATGATGATGATGAAAATTGTGAAAATGATGATGATGCTGATGATGATACTGCCGATGATAATGATGATAATGAATATGGTGAAGATGTTGATGATGCTGGTGGCGATGATGCTGATGATGGTGATGCTGATGATGCTGATGATGCTGATGATGGTGATGATGATGACGATGGTGCGAAAGGCGAGGATGACGCGAATGATCATGATGATAATGCTGATGATGGTGCCGATGCTGCTGATGGTGATGACGACGGTGGTGGTGGTGGATCGGAGCCCCACGCCGCCGAAGCCTTGAACATGTTGACCTCCTCGATCCCGGGGATGTTGTTCACGCCGAGGCGCTTGAGCTGAGCCTGCCGCGGGCGCGGGCAGCAGGCCGCGGGAGGACCTCACTGTTAAAAGAACCAGGCGGGGGGGGGGGGGGGGGGAAGGCAGGTCCCCCCCTCGAAAGCTCAAAGCTCGTGCAGCGTTCCTTCTCCTCCTCCTCCTTCGCCTCCTGTTCCTCTTTTCCTCTTTTCGTCGTCGTCCTCCTCCTCCTTCTCAGAATCATCATACTCCTCCTCCTCCCCCTCCTCCTCATACCCCCAAGATGGTCCCAGGAGGTTGTTACGAGGCGCGGAAGACAAATCGCGGGGACATCAACGAAACCGTTTTGGCATGGGAACACTTCTGCGCCCCATTCCGACATGTTTCCAAAGCGGCTGTGCAACTGCGTGTTTCCACGCGTCGCTGATTAACCAACTGTTCTGGTCATCGTTTCTGGATGGGCTGGCGGGGATACTTTTTTTTGGTCAGCGGCCTCGTGAAGCGGGTCAAAAGGCGTCCAAAACTCGAGGCTGGGGGGGATACTTTTTTGGGTCGGCGGCTCCCAGGCGAAGGTCAAGGAGCGGGGCAACGTTCGGGGCGCGGAACGAAGATTCTTGGCCGCAGTGGCGTATGCACATGCAAGGGACAACATGAGCCTCATTAAGACGCCAACGGCGTCGGCAGGTGACGGCACAGACATCCCAGCAGATGGGGACGCATCTGGGGGGGATACGCGACGCGTGAAGAATCGAATCGCTTCCCTCCGAACTCCCCATTTTCTCTCAACGCTGGGGCTGCAAGACGGAGCGTTCTGGACGCGAGCGGCCTCGCGGACCGGCGACGCCACGCCCCGCCCTCCCCTGTCCGGCCCTCCCCCGCCGCTCTTGAGCTCGCGCGTGCTCTGTTCGCGTCCCTGCGCCCGGGCTCCCACTTGCGCAGGGACCGACCGTCCCCGCATCCCTCTAGTCATACCACGAAATGTTCCTAGAACCCAAACATGCCGCTCCGGCCCGCTCACCGCGGAACGCTTCCACGCCTGAGCGCCCTCCCCCGCCTCCTTTCGCGCGGCCGCCCTCGTTTTCGCTTCCCTTTTTTTTTTGTTTTATCTTTCTGTTCTGAGAACCCAAACTTGTTCTGAGAACGAAAACAATGTTCTTAGAACCCAAACCTGTTCTGAGAACGAAAGCAAGGTTCTTAGAACGTAAGCCCGATGTGTCCAAGCAAGACAGACTCCGCCAGACATGTTCCAAGAACATTTCGTGGAAACCACAAAAGGTTCTTAGAACATTGCCTGGTAGGACTATAAGCACGCCGGGACGCTTCGCCACTGCTTGACCCACGGCGCCCCCGCCCCCTCTCGCCCCCGGCGCGCCACCGCCGCCCGAGCAGGGTCCGCATCCCCGGCCCCCCGCCCGCTGCCAGGGCGCTCCCCTGCGCTTCGCGGTGGCTCTGCGGGCGCCCGCCCTCCCCCGACGCCCCGCCGCTGCCCGCCCCGGGCGCGCCAGCGCCTCCATGGAGGCTCCCTCTCGCTCCCTCTCGCTCGGCCCCCTCTCGCTCCCTCTCGCTCGGCCCCCTTGGCGCGCCACTCGGCCCCCTCCCGCTCCCTGGCCGCCCTGGCCCTGGCACCGCGCCGCTCTGGCGCGCGGGCCCGCTGCGGGGCACCCGTGCCGGCCCCTTCGGCCCCAGTTCTGCCGCCAGTGCAGCCGCCGCGTGGTCGCTGCGCGGCGCCGCCGCGCTGCGCCGCCCTCGGCGTGCAGCTCAGCCCCAGCCGCCCTGTGCCGCCCCAGCGCGTCGCCCTGCCCCTGACGCGGCTGCCGCGCCAATGCAGTCGCTGCGCTTGGTGGGTTCCGCGATCTGCTGAGGGCACTCCTCGGGCTCCAGAGCCGTTTCTGCCTGGTGTTCACCGCCACTGCACCCCGGCAGTGCCCGCGGGTGCGCCCTGCAGGCCCCCGCCCCGGCTGCTGCCGCGGTCCCCGCTGCCCCGGCTGGCCGCTCCGGCCCGCTCACCGCGGAACGCTTCCACGCCTGAGCGCCCTCCCCCTCCTCCTTTCGCGCGGCCGCCCTCGTTTTCGCTTCCCCTTTGTTTGTTGTCTCTTTCTCTCTTTTTTTTTTTTCTCTCTCTCTCTCTCTCTCTCTCTCTCTTGCACGCCGGACAATGTGCCATCGATTGCCCAGGTTAGCCCCATGCTGGCGCGGACTGCCTGTGCCTCCCCGCCGACGGAAAAAATGCGGTTCGCGTCCACATGCGGGCCGAGTCGACCAGGCCTTGCCCTACCTGTTCGTCGTTGTGTCCCTCTCTTTTTTCTTTCTGTCTTGAACTCATGTATGTTTTGTTCGCGTCCGCATGCGGGCCGACTCGATCAGGCCTGCCTTGCCTGCACCCTTCCTTCTCTCTCTATCTCTTGTTTGTCGTTTCTCTCTTTGCGTCCTGGCCATTTGAAATAGCACCGCCGTCCATGATTGATGCCCGTGTGAAATCACACCAGGGCGCATGATGCGTCTTTCCTTCCAACGCCACCTGGCGCTCCTACCCTCCCTCCAATCCCCCGTCAATGCCTCCACCTCCTCGTACTCGTCCTTCAAATTCCAGCTCCCCATCGTCCTCAAGTTCCTCCTCCCACAAGTTTCTCCTACTCCTCGTCCTTCACGTTCTTTCTCCTCCTCGTCCCGATACTTCGCCTTCCAAGTTCCCCCTCCGCCTCGTACTCTTCCGATCCTTACCCTGCCGCGCGCGCGCTCTCCCACGGAGAAGCACGCGCTCGCCGCGGGCATGTCGGCTGTATCGATACCGAACTCACGAGGCGCCCACGCTTGCACGCGCGCGCACGCGCGCACACGCACGCGCACACAGTTGACAAGGTCATGAGACCATCCTGGGTTGAAGCTTCTCCCGAGGCGTATTCGTAGTCACGTGAGCTGTGCGAAGACGCGCTGTCGCGTGCCGAGCCTCTACTGACGTGTCCCTGCGTCCCGGTTAGGACGAGTGGACGTATGTTTTGTTCGGACAGTGGCCGCTGCGGCGCCACGCCTCGCTCCCGCACGCGCCCTCTCATGGCGTGGTTGGGCTGTCATGGCCGGCGTGGCTGTTCTGGTGTTCGTTCATGAACTAACTCATGAAATAATGCATGAGGCAACGCGTGGGGAAATTGATGATCTTGGTATGGAACCTGAATCATATTCGTTATTGCGCTACGTGTTCCTCGCTTTTACGTGCTATTGGTACCTTAGATGTCTTCTTGTTTTGTTTAGGGAGCGCAGAGACCGAGAAACAACACCCGCCCTCAAATCTGTGTTCGTTTAAAGAAATCCACTGCAAGCGTGAACAGCTTCGACACGCGTGCTCGAGCAGGGGGGAGAGAGGGGAAAGGGGGGCGAAGGAGGCGGGAGGTGTCCAGGTGTCAGCCGTGAGTATTGATATGGAACCTTCGCCAGACGTGCTTGCTGCGATGCTCTATTATGCTCCCCTCGCACAGCGTAGTACCATACATGATCCATCACGATATTGACAAATCACGTATACGGAAAGAGAGAAAGAGAGAGAGAGAGAGAGAGAAAGAATATGAGAGAGAGAGAGAAAGAGAGAGAGAGAGAGCACGCAAAGACGAGGAACGAATGGCAAGAATGGTGGACGAATGGGCTGGTGGACGCATGTGTTTCCAGGTTCGCCGCCCTGCGACGTCCGAAGCTCTCCCAGAGGTTGCTGTACTGGAAACTGCTAGGCAAATGCCAATCCATTCCAAGGATTCGAAGAGGCACGTAGGCATTGAAAACAGCTCGCGCCGGCACCTGCCCGGAGATGGCCCCCACGTCCCGTCGAATTGAGCAGGACCTGTCCTGACGGTCCGTGCCTGCTGATTGTTAGCTTGCGCCGATATCTTGTATAGCTGTTGCTATTGTTAGTGTGCCGATCTGTTTCATGAGGGACCACAGGCGAAAGCACCTTGCTGCAAAAGGACGGCCCCTGTAGGTGGAGAGGGGCAGGAAGGGAGGGATGGGGAATAGGGAGCAGGCGGCCTCGCGACCCACCTTGCGTCTAAAATGACGGCCGCCCCTTGGACACAGGAGCTGCATCTGCTTAGGGCCCTCTGTCGGGCCCTTCTGGGTGCCCAAACACATGCAAAGAACTGGCACTTCGGCTCAGGACGGCTCTTTTAGACACACTGACAGACAGACCGACAGACCGACAGACCGACAGACCGACAGACCGACAGACCGACAGACCGACAGACCGACAGACAGACAGACAGACAGACAGACAGACAGACAGACAGACAGACAGACAGACAGACAGACAGACAAACAGACACACGCACGCTGCCTGAGCATTGGCTCAACACCGAATCCGCAGGGACATCCGACAATGCATGTCTGTGCAATATTTGGGCGCCCGATTTATCCGGGGTAACTCGGGTCCGGGGTAACTCGGGCTTGGATTTCCGAAAAAGGAACCCGAGGTAGCCCTGACCCGAGTTATCCTGACGACTTGGGGCTCTGGACGCCCGAATTATCCGGGGTAACTCGGGTCCGGGGTAACTCGGGTTCGGAATCCTGAAAAGCGAACCCGAGTTAGCCCTGACCCGAGTTACCCCTGATGATTCGGGGCTCTGAAATATGTTCCTCCTTCGATGGGCCCTGCATCGATGCTGCGTCTATGTATGTTCATGCCCGTGTGGTCGCGGCACCGCCCCGTACCCGCTGCCAGGGGTGCAGCACCGGCTTGGCCGCCCTGGGCGCCCCGCTGCGGCCCCCGCTGCGTGAGCGCATCAGCTTCTCCCCCTTCTCCCGCGGCCGCTCCTCTCTTCCCCCCCCCCCTCCCGCCCTGGCTTGGCGGCGCGCACAAGGGGGTAGGGGGAGGGGGGAAGGCTTCTTAGAAGGAGGCTGTTTCTTAGAAGGCGCTTGCCTTACATCTATAGATGAGGCCAGCGCCTTCTAAGAAGCAGGGGCGCTTCTAAGAAGCCCTCCCCCTCCCCCCACCCCCTTCCGCGCGCCGCCGACTGGCACCCGGGCAATCCGCCATGCCGTCGCCTGGCTTGCCCGTTCGCGCGCGTGGACTGCCTGTGCCACGCTGCGGCGCGAAAGTGCCCGTGCCAGATCCGAGGGAACGAACAATGGCATGAACACAAGAACCCGGGGACCTCCGAGCTGTTCTGTTTATGTCATTGTTCGTCCCCCTCATATCGGGGAGACGTAAGACCCGGGTACGGGGGACTCGGAAATCCCCGACGAGGTCGTCAAACAAATGACGAGGCCGAGCCTGCATTTTGACGAGGCCTCCCGCTGCAGACACCCCACGAAACTCCTCCTCGTCAAAACCCGAGGCGCGGTCGTCAAAAAACGATGGCGAACCCGAGTCCTGGCAAACCCGGGTCTTACGCTCCCCCGATCATATCGATGCAGCCGGGGCGAGCCCCGCGCTTGGCCGGCCTGCAGCTGCTTGTCGTCCGCGCCGTGCGACTGGTGCTTCTTGAGCTTGGTCCGCCGGGCGGTGCCCTCGCCGCCCGTCCTGGCCCCGCGCCCGCCCGCCCCTCCCCCCGACGGTGGGGGGAGGGGAGGGGCGGTGATCCCTCTGCTCCCGCCCCTCCTCCTTCTCCTCCTCCTCATCCTCTTCCTCCTCCTCCTCCTCCTCCTCCTCCTCCTCCTCCTCCTCCTACCCCTCCCTCCGCTTTCCTCCCCTATCCTCCTCCCTCCCCTTCCTCCTCCCTCCTCCTCCCTCCTCCTCCTCCTCCTCCTCCTCCTCCTCAGCCTTCCTCTGCCGATGGGCCCCTAGTTCAGCAGCCTGCGCCGCATGGTGCCCTGCTCGACCTCTTTATCGAGCCCGGACATAACATGGAGCAAGAAGGCAAAGATGTGTTTACTCCTTCAAGTTCGCGCATCTGGATCTTCATGACGGTAGCGGTAACTGTCGCGGTCTGGGTCTCTAGTGTCTTGGGAGCAGTGACCATCCCAGCACCAACGCATGCAACTTCTTGGGATAAAGTATGCTGCGAGGGGCCTCCACCCGAAGACGGGTAAGCCTCTGGGGAGACTTGGAGAGGGGGACTCCTGCCTCTGGTCCACGGTGTACCGCCAATGCAGAGCTGCTCCGTGGTGACAAATAGGTCGTCCTGACGGGCCCCTTTTCTGAATGCGATGCAGGTGCATGGGGGTTAGCTGACATCTCTCCGCGGTTCCAGGTGCTGGGTGCCGGGTGCATTTCCCGGAGGTGCCGGTTGCTGGGTGCACTCCCGACTCCAGTCTCGTTGCTGCGTCCGCGTTTCTCGGTTGGAGATGGAATGGTCGCTGCATTTGTTTTGCCAAGGCGCTCGCGGATCCCGCTCGCGCCTCAGGTTGCTCGCGCCTCCTCCTCCTCCTTCTCATACTTCGCGTGCTGCTACAACTAAAACACATACGACGACGACTACTACTGCTACTACTACTACTATTACTACGAGTGCTACTACTACTACTACTACTACTTCTACTGCTTCTTCATCTACTACTGATACTCGTACTAGTACTAGTACTAGTACTAGTACTAGTGCTACTACTACTACTACTACTACTACTACTACTACTACGACTACGACTACGACTACGACTACGACTACGACTACGACTACTACTACTACTACTACTACTACTACTACTACTACTACTACTACGACTACTACTACTACTACTACGAACTACGACCTACTACTACTAACTACTACTACTAACTAAAACAACTACTACTACTACCAACACCAATACCACTACAAGTACTACTGCAACAACGACGACGACAACGACGACGACGACGACTACTACTACTACTAATACTACCACTACTACGACTACGACCGACTACTAGTACTACTACGACTACTTCGACTACAACCACTACTTCGACTACTACTTCTACGACTACGGCGACGACTAGTGTTACTATTATAACTCCTCGTCGTCCTCCTCGAAGTACTACTAGTCCTACTAGTACTACTACTACTGATACTACTACTACTACTACTACTACTACTACTACTCCTACTGCTACTACTACTATTACGACTACTGCTAGTACTACTACTACTACTACTATTACTACGACCACGACTAATAAGACTACTAAGACTACTACGACTACTACGACTACTACGACTACTACTACTACTACTACTACTACTACTACGACTACTACTACTACTACTATTACTACTACTACTACTACTACTACTACTACACCTCCTCCTCCTCCTTCTACTACTACTACTGCGGCTACGACTACGACTACTACTATTACTACTCCTAATACGACTACGACTACGACTACTACTACTACTATTCCTGCTACTAGTACTACTACTACTACTACTAATCATATTACCGCTTCTACAACTACTACGACTGCGAGTACGACTACAGCTACGACTACGAGAACTACTCGTACTACTACTACGACTACTATTACGACGAAGACTACTACTACTACTACTACTACTACTACTACTACTACGACTACTCCCATGACTTCCAGTAGTACTCCTACTACTTCTACGACTACTTCTACCTACTACTGCGACGACCTACTACTACAAAATCGACTACTGCTACTACTACTACAACTACTACTATTAATACTCATACTACGACTACTTCTTCTACAACTACTACGGCTACTACTGCAAATTCTTCTGCTACTACGACTACCTCCACGACTGAGGCGACCCATACTTTTTACGACCACTACGACTACGACTACTACTACTGCTGCTACTACTACTACTACTGCTACTACTACAACTACTACAACGACAACGATTACTACTACGACGACTACTACTACTACTACTACTACTCCTACTACTACTACTACTACTACTACTACTACTACGACTGCGATTACTACTACTACTACTGCTGCTGCTGCCGCTACTACTACTACGATTTCTACAACGGCACGATTACTACTACTACTGCTGCTACGACTACTACTACTACTGCCGCTACGACTACGACTACTGCTACTACTACTACTACTACTACTAATACTACTACACCTACTACTAGTGCTACTACTAGAACTACTACCACTTCTTCTACTACTACTACTACTACTACTACCACCACTACTGCTACTACTACCACTGCTACATGCGGCTACGACTACGACTACTGCTACTGCTACTGCCACTACTACTACTACTACTACTACTACTAC